TCTCTCTCTCTCTCCCTTCCTCTCTGTACAAAATCAATAAAATATATTTTAAAAATATAAAAAATAAATGAGCAAGTGATGATCAGATGTATACCATCCAATACAACCCTATTTTCTCTACCTTGAGAGGGGCTGAATAGAGGGGGAGGAGAAGAAGGAACTCTGGCTTCCTTAAGTAAGAGGCTCCCATGCACTGGGGCCCTCCCTCTGGTGCCAGGACACCCATGGCCAGTAGTCCAGCATCTGCATGCACTCTCCCTTTCCTTCCCTACAGCACCCATCCACCTTCAGATGGCCTATTAGGAAGAACCTTCTGCCCCCAGAAGAACCTAAGCCAGCACTCACTGTCCCCCTTCCTTCCCCCCACCCCAGCTTTCCTTAACTGGAAACATGTCCCCAGAGCCAAGATAGGATCAATGTTCGGGTCAGAGAACTTTCACAATTTCCAGCTCCCTGAGATCTATGCCCCTGCATTGGAGCCAGGTGCCGAGATGTTTATGTGGAATAGCCTGAGTTTTTAATGTTTGTGACCAATTCCCATTTGTTTAAAGCATCGTGCCAACCAAACAAAACCCCTCTGGTGGCCTGAGGCTACCATTTGTAACACTCAAGGCTGGATCCAAAATGGCTAAGAAGAGAAAGGATGCCTTCCAAGCAGAGAAATTGGGAAACTGGCAGAGGCAGAGGTTTAAAGGCTTAAAAAAAAAAAAAAAATACCATTAATGTCAGGTCAGCTGGATAGAGATGAACTCCGGGACAAGGATTCCTCAAATATCCAACGGTAGCCAGCAGCCATTACAACAAATAATTCCTTTACAACTTAAGTCCCCCGCCCTCTGCACTTGGCTTTCTCCTTTTATGTAACAAATAGAACACACAAGTTCTGACTCCGGGTGCTGGAATATTTTTTATTGTGAAGGCGCTTACTGCATCTTTGCCGTTTAGAGACCATTCACTCACATTCCCCTCTGAATAGCTCACCACAGTCTAGGAGTTATATTATTGATGACAAAACTGAGTCTCTGAAGCAACTGGCCCAAGTTCATCCACAAACCTCTACCTCTTGTACAAAAAAAAAAAAAACTCACATTGAAAACCCACAACCCCACACAGCGTCCGATATCAATTTCCAAGCATTTGTAGTTTCTGAATTTTCAGGGCCTGGCTGGTCTTTTCTAGCAATATTTGACACCGTGTATTAATTTTTAATGTGCTAAATGGTGAGGTGCTCTCTAATCTAACTTGAATCTCCAACACCATTCATCTCTCACACCAGCCTTGTTTATTTCTGCATGTTCCTTTTCAGCCAGAAGGCATGTTCCTTTTCAGCCAGAAGGCAGGGGGACTATGTGATTCCACTCCGGGGTGGGGTTTGGACTCAGATGGCATGGGTTCAAATCCCCGTTCTGAGTGACTCTGGTTAAGTGACCCTTAGTGCCTCAGTTTCCCCACTTGTAAAATGTGGGCAACAGCAGGGAATTGTTATCCCAAGCTCCAGCTCAACCTACCTTCCCCTGAGAAAGAGAGGTGAGTGAGAGGTCATAGCCACCATCTGCCCTTTCAACTGCGTTACATGAGCCTTAGCACTTGAGGCTCCCATCTTGGATTTGAATACTGGGGTGTTGGTTGTTGTGGAAACTGCCTAACAATTTCTACCACGGAAACAGCCCTAGCAGAACACACAAATATTTTTATTCTGTGAGCTGTTATTTCTGAAAAACAGAGGGGCTCACAGAAGCTTGTGAAGAGCAGGGCAGGGCCTGATGCTGGGGAGGGAGCAACTCAGGAGAGAAGAGGAAGTGACAGAGAGGCTGTTCTGCTCTTTTCCCTCCCCCTTCCAGCCTCCTCCCCTTTCCCAACCTTGGGGTCTCAAACTCAATCCCAGGGCCTAATTCGGCTATGGATATGTTGTATTTGGCCTAGGGAATGATTTTACTGGGGAGATTTTACATCAAATTCCACGTGTCCAGATTATTTTAGATTAGAAGATCTTCCATACGGGGCCCATCTTCTCCCACAGGAGCTGAGAAATAACTGCTTTCTTTAGAAGATTTGAGGTTCTTCTCTTTGTCCCAGTCCCCACCGCTCTCTGTTGTCTCCCACCCATCTACTTCACTCATTCATAAAGCCTACCTGGCCCTCACAGCTATTCGAATGTTCAACCCCTGGCCTCTGCCCTGTCCTAGGACCCAGCATCTCAATGCGGGGCCTGTGAATCCCGTGTGGCAGCACCCCTGAGCCATGGCCAGATTCCCTAAACTAGAGAACATCCACATTTTCAACTGGTCACACTGCAGACTCCAAAACATTTGAATCACAGACCGTCAGAAGATTCAGCAACTCACCTCTCTCTGTGTCAATCAGGAGGGGCCCGCCCCCACCAAACTTCTTAGTGAAGCTCTTTATTTACACCAAGCCTTATGAGGAACCCCAAAATACCAACAGAACCCAGCAGGACCACCTCAGGGCCTGAAGACCTTGGAACCCTGGATCCTACTATTGAACTCCCCTCTTATCAAGATGGGGAAACTGAGTCTCAGAGAAAGGAACTGGGTGGCCAAAGGCATAGCAAATAGGCCAATGTTGACTGATCATAGCCCCCTCCCTTCCACAGAGGCCTACCCACCCTCTTGAATTCTCTCTTCTTCCGTTGATCAAAACTCACTCCCAGGAGAAAGCCTGAAACTCCTTCAGACCATGGTATCCTGTGGTGGCTTTTGCCTCTCAGGGAATCTAAAGGAACTAGAGCTTCCATGATAGTTAAATAAATGAAGCCCATAGAAGAATTGCAGACATTGGCTGTGGATAGAATTAGGCAAAGGAGGAAAAACGAGGAATCTTCCCGCAGTTCCTAGAATCACTCTACGTCATGTGTGACTAGAACAGGGCTGGGCTGGGTTCTCAGCCCCAAGGCAGCAGCTTTGGTCTCATGAAGGCCTCAGTCTCCCCACCTATGAAATGGTCATAACCCAGCTCTGAGATCCCTCATTCTCAGTGCACAGGCAGGACATTGGCTATCCAGAGCTTATCCCCACTACTAGGCAAGGCGAGATGCAGAGCCATCCCAGCCTATCCCACAGGGTCTCAGCCAGTCTGGCTCTTGGAAGCTCCCAACGGAGGTCTCATTGACAACATCGGAGGAGGCTCAGCACCTAAACCCCAGACAGGGACCACCCATCTCCCTGTATCCCGGAGCCACAGACTGCTGCCACTCAGGACCACTGAGCTTTCTTTACATCACTCTCCCCAGCACCGGCACCAGATTGCACCCACAGTGGAGGTTCAAGAAACATGCATTGAGTGAACAAATGGATGAATGAGCCAACAAATGGCAGGTTGTTAGAATTCCCTACCAATGTGGCATTAGACCACATGCTCCCTTAACTGTAACAGCAGAATGTTCCATTGCTCTGACCCCAACATTCTAATAATGGTACTGTTTGGGTGATCCCTCTGGATCCCCCTTCTCACAAGTTGACTGAGGCCAGAGGTCTAATGAGGTCTGTGCCCTTTCCCGCCCCCCCCCACCTTCACTCCCTCCCCTTGTCCATCCCTCAGCTGTCTTCATTAAATCACAGGTGAGCTGGGGTTTGGCTGGCCTCAGGGACAGGACTGACATTGCTCTACTGCAGGGGACCATTCCTGCTGTGTTTTCCATGATGACACCTCAGGGCAGGCTCCTAATATTCGAGCATGTCACCTGTGTCCAGTGGGTGGTTGGTGGCCTCAAGTGCAGGCTCTGGAAGAATCAGACTGGTCTTTTCAACAAGGCACAGGTTGTACGTGTTGGAACACAGGTAAGCTCTGTTGTGGACGAGGCCATGCTAGGTGATGGCAGGGAGATTCGGCCTGCCCGGGGTAGAGAGGTGGTCTTCTCAGCAGAGGGCCCTGAGAAGGGGCTCGCCAGTGTAGTTGGGAGGAAAGGCTCTTCCTAGCTCAGCATGAGCAAGGCAGGAAGTGTGCCAGGGCACTGGTTAGGGAAAAATGAAATGGCAACAGTGACTCGGGGTGACCCAGGATAGCAGCAAAGGAAAGAAAGAAGCTAGGGGAAGCACTTGCCTTCAAAGGGCCCAGTAAACAGAGATGCTGGCCCCTCCCACTGGGTCTGCCTTTGTCTGTCCCAGCCCTGAATTTCCACTGTGAGAGGTTTCTGTTGCATGCTCCTCTTCTAGCCTTAGGGGAGGTGGGGCCACCAACCCCTCCCCTCCAGGCACCACTTGAGCATGTCATGTGTGTCCTTGGGGTATCAGCTCTTTGGGGCAGGCACTCTGTCTGTCCTTTTTGCCACTCTATCCCGGTGTCCAGAACAGTGCCAGGCACATAGTAGGTGCAAACATGCATGAATTATCTCATGAGACGCTCACAAGCACCCTCCCACGCAGTCTGGGATTCTAACCCAGGCAGGAGCTTCCTAGACTGTGCTCAACAGGGCAGGCAAGTGCAAAGCAGGAGCAAGGGTGCGGGTGCAAGGTGGGCGTGATGCTGGGTATTCACTTCCTGTAACGAAAGACCATAAACCAGTGGTTTTGAATAAGAGAAATGGGTTCTCTCACTGTTCTGGAGGCCAAAAGTCTAAAGTCAAGGTTACATTCCATTCCTTGATTCTTCCAGCTTCTGTTGGCTCTGGGATTTCCCTGGCTTGTGGCTGCATCACTACAATCTCCCCTCCATCTCCACGTGGCTTTCTTCCCTCTGTGTCTGTGTCTTCTCTTCCGTCTCTTACAAGGACACTTGTCATTGGGTTAGGGCCTATCTGGATAGTCCAGGGTGATGTTATCTCAAAATTCTTAGTTTCATCCGCAAAGACCATTCTCCCAAATAAGGTCACATTCACAGGTTCTGGGGAGTGCTGGGCTCTAGGCTGGTGCCTGCAAGTTTCCTGCTTTGTTTTTTCCTCTCTGTGTTCTTTGTCATGTGGCCAGACCCACTTGGGACAATTCCGGGAACGTGTGTGTCTCTCCTGGACCCTCCAGGCCAACCTCTCTGTACTCTGTCCACAGGTTTGCCAGGCACGGCTCCAGACCTAGAAAAGAGAAAGCAGATTTTTGGACAAAACTTTATACCTCCAAAGAAGCCAAAAACCTTCCTGCAGCTCGTGTGGGAAGCTCTGCAAGATGTGACACTGATCATCCTGGAAATTGCGGCCATCATCTCCCTGGGGCTCTCCTTCTACCACCCGCCTGGCGAGAGCCAAGAAGGTAAGACCTGGGGACCCCTGCCCCCCTCCCTGCAACATGTGTGCCCAGCCACACCAAAGGGCATTCCGGGCTAACAGGCACTACTCCTTCCAGGTGAGGAAACCAAGGCCCAAGGGGCTGAATCTCACCCCCTGCCAATCAGTGGCCGAGCCAAAACCCAGGCTCAGAGCCCTCCCCCTAGTGTTCCCAAGTGTGAAATGCAAGAGCTGGACCAACAATACCGTGTTTCCCCAAAAATAAGACATCCTCCGAAAATAAGACCTACTTACAGGTTTCCTTCTAAGTGAAATATAAAGCATCCCCCGAAAATAAGCCCCCCCCCCAGGCTAAACATGAGAGATTTGGTCCATTGATTCTGAAAGAAATGGAGTCACAAGAAATTCACCAGGAAATTCAGGAATTGGATTGTTATGATGATGTTCCAGAAGATGATGACATGATTGTCATTGAATAAATGAGTAAGTTCTTGGAACTGTAGGATTCACAATTTGTCTGGTTTGTGTTGACAACTACCGCACTACCATACAGTATACAGGTAATAAATTTCCTTTATTTTCATTTAACAATAAATGTGTACCGTATTCTTCTTCATGGAAAAATAAGACATCCCCTGAAAATAAGACCTAGCGCATCTTTGGGAGCAAAAATTAATATAAGACACTGTCTTATTTTCGGGGAAACAGGGTAGTAATGATTATAATGATCATTTATTGAGCACTTACAGCATGCCAAGATCTATGCTGAAATGTCCTCCTAACAGCCCCCATAAGGTAGTGCATGATTATCCTCATTTTAAAGACATGGAACCAAGGCCCAGAGAAGTTCATTAACTTGCTCAAGGTCACCCAGCTAATTAAGAGTTCTTAGGTTTTGTAGTGGAGCTTAGAAAAACTGCTGCCAGGTCCCTCTCTGAGAGAGTCTGGTTTTACTGGATGAAATCCAAGTGAAGGTGGCTCCGGATGTATGTCCAGACTGCTCTCTGAGAGCTCCCCACTCTCACATCTGATGATAAAGCCCCAAAATTGCCTTCCTGGTGGGCTGCATTCACGATTTTTGATCTGACAGTGCTTCAGCCCATTCACAGAGATCCCTCTCAGGTCCCCTGCCCTCTGAATACTCCATCTTCTGGGGGACCCTCCTTCAGCTCCAAAGCTGGGCTTCTCCTCAGAAACCCAAGTCACTCATTCCGTGAGGCATGCAACTGTGAAAAAAAAAAAAAAATCATGCACTGAATATTCTAAAACACAGATTACAAACGATAGCCCACAAGCCAAATCGGTCTCACTTTCCTGTTTTTGTATGGCCCGTGAACTAAGATTGGTTTTTACATTTTCAAATGATTGGAAAAGTGAAAATAATATTATTTTGTAACATGTGGCTTTTACATGAATTTCCTACTTCATTGTGTAAAAATAATGTTTTATTGGAACACTCCCACTTCTTTTTCATATTGTCTATGCTGCTTTCCTACTATAATGGCAGAGGTAGGTAGCTGCAACAAAGACTACATGTATGGTCCACAAGGCCTAAAATATTTACTATCTGGACTTTTTCAGAGAAATTTTGCCAACCTCTTTCCTAGAAGGTCGGGATGTGGCATTTTGCCTCAAGAAAACCATTCTTCTTCTCCTTAATCCCCTCCACTCTGAGCATGGAGGTCAAGTGCCTCAATTTTATACATATTACTAAATTGATTTTTTTTCTCTCCATGACATTTCTCCAAAAAGGGTTTAAAGGCATAATAAAGACATGTCTCATAATCTGAGGTCAACTAAAAAGCCAGACAGAAAAGGAATGGAAGCAAATAAACTATGTTTGCTACTATGATTGGGATATAAATTTGATTTTGAGCTTCCTGGCAGCCAAGGCAGAAAGGAAGCTAAGATGATTTGCATAGCTCAGATTATTAACAGGAGGAAAACCAGTCCTGCAGGAAGACAGCATGCCCCTGACGATGAATTCTGGGATGAACTTTCACATAGGGCATAGAAGATGAATCATGAGCAGCATTCTTTGCAGAAGTTTTATAGAAAATTTTGAAGAAGATTGTGCATGGCTATTTAAATAGGCCTTGAACAGAGCTAAGGGTGCAACACGAAAACATAATAGTTCTTACTATTTTTATAGCTACCACTAGCTGAGAGCTTTTACAGTAGAAGTTCATTTGATCCTCACAACAACCCTGTGGGTAGGTGCTATTATTATCCAGGAAACCGAGGCCCTGAAATAGTAAATAACTTGCTTCATCACACTCTAGGAAGCACAGAACGATGACTCAGACAGAGACGTTCTGGCTTCTGAGCCCTCGCTCCTATCATTCAGAAAGAGATGGGGTTGAGACAGTGCCAGCTGAGTAAGTGACCTCATGTGACCCAATTCAGTGCAAGATTAGAACTGAGAGGGCAAATGGTGGAGGGGATAGAGCGGGAGCATGCATAGAGCTCCCAGTGTGTGCCAGGGAGAGCCTTCCAGAGCCCTCCACACAGACGCCTGTGATCACCTTCATCTTCAAGAGGTGGGAACCAAGGCCCAGAGGGAGGAAGCACTTGCCTCAGGCCGCACAGCTCATACACAGTAGGGCTGGATCTGAAACCCAATTCTTCTGGTTCTTTTCACTGCCCTTCCATGCCTCCAGCTGAGACACTAGTACAGACCGTCACTGGGTCAATGAGGGCAGTTGTGCACACTCTAGTTCCACAGAGTGAAGTTCCAGAACATTGTGATGATACTTATACTTCCCTGACACTCAGACACTGTCCTGACCTCTGAGCTCTGGGCTGAGCATGTTTCCAGGACCACCCCCTTGCCAAGTCAAACACAGGCTTCATCACTTAATTAAAAATTGATGCAGGTGATGAACTAAAAGGCTATAGAGTGCCTTACAGCACCCACAGCCCTTCCCTGTTTTCATTCATGGCTCAGAGAGCTCTAGACTCTTGTCAGAGGTCACACAGCATATTTGTGGCAGGGCTGGGATCAGCACACCCAGTGCTCTCAACTCCCTGCCCATGACAGTTTCCCTAGTGCCAGAGTGCTAGCAGAGTGACAGGCACATAGTAGGTGCTTAGAAAATGTTTGTGGCTTGACCAGTTTTGAGGGCCCTTATTTGGTAACCACCTAGGATGTAGCTTCTCCATGTTACTGGTTAACAAATCGAGAGAGGCCCAGAAAGGCCATGTGCATTCTCCAAGGTCACACAGAATGAGGCCTTAGAAAATCTCAGATCCAGGGGAAGAAGCTTCAGATTCCACAGACCCTGTGATCACAATCTCTAGGTCCTGTTTCTGCCCCAGTCTGAGGGGACCCAGAGGAGGTCTCAGAAGGCCTGCTCACTCTCTGCTTTCTTCCTGTTCCTGGTCTCTTCCCCCTAATGCACCAGGAGCAGCAGAAGTTGTTCCCAGAGTCCAGCGGCTCCCGATGGCTGAAGACCTAACCAGAGATTCAGACCCCACTTTATGGTCATTCCAAGGCACAATGTAACCATCAGACAGTTGTGAGAAGGAAATTAAAGCTAATGGGCTTTGCTGGCAGAGTGAGGGCTCTGACAGGCCCAGAGGCCTCCTTGGTATCGAATCAGCAAGGGCAGCAGGCAGGACTGGGAGGCAAAGCATTCAACCGCCATGCCTGGTTTCCAGAAGCCAGTCCAAGGAGAGCAGCTCATGAAAAGGGGGAGAGAACCAATACTTATTGTGTGCCTTGTGCCAGGCCCTTACTAGGTCCAAGTCTCACCAAGTCCCTGGGGTCATCGCACTTTACAGCTGTCCAGACTGAGGCTCAGAGAGGCCCAGTCACTTACTCTTGGTCACACAGCAGAGTCTGTACTTGAAGCCAGGTCTTTCCAATTCTAGAACCTGAAGGCTTTCCATTGACACTTGGGATGTTTCCAAGTGTCTTGAATGCTTCAATAACTAATGGAGTAGGGTCGGGGGGCGGGGGGGAATGGGGGGAACATTAACGAAACACACAAGAGGGAAAGAACAGCCTTCCCAATGTAGAGCATGTAGCAGGAGCAGGGAATAACAAAAGCTATAAAGTGAAACACTGGGCTTTGTATCTCAAATCACCCCCTGAAGTTTAAGAAAATGCATTTCTATAAATGGTTTTTATTTAGCAAGGCTCACCTGTGTTTTCCAGCTTTTTTTTTTTTAGGGTGGGGGGGAGGAGATGGTGGTAGAGGGAGCTCTAGTTCCCCTCCTCCTGTCATCACGTGGTCTGGATTATAGCTGGATCCCCTCTGTAACTCGGGGCTCATGGCTCCATTCAGGCCGGTGTGAAACTGGAGTGCCATAATGTGTGCTAAATGCTGGGCAACAGGAAGCAGCAGCTCTAACTGAGCGTCACTGTGGGAGCACGGTAGTAGCTGCTTTACATAAAGGCTCACCCTGAGTCCTCCCACCCTCTGGGAGGGAGCCCGTCAGTGCCCTCATTCTGCAGATGAGAAAATCCAGGCACAGCAGTCCAGTAGCTAGCTCCTGGGCACACAGCAGTTAAGTTACTACAGCAGGGATTTGAACTCAGGGCTGGCCCAATGTCTGTTATCCACACGATAATGAGTATCATTACAACCAAAGGCTGAACCAATTAAACAGTTTAAAATTACTGGAAAAGCTTTGAAATTCCCAAAGGAAAAAAGGTAGTTTTGAGAACCTTATACAACAACGTGATTGATTGTATGTGATTGTTAACTAGCCTGTACAGAACAGCTGGTGACACATACTGCCCTGCCACAATGATTCTATAGTATATCAACAGCACAACGATTGACATTTTCTTTTGAGAGGCAAAAACCGACTTCTGCGCATGGGCCACAAAGTTTCAATTTCACTGTATGTGCGAGCCCACACGCGGTATTTTGTGGAAGAGTCACACTTAAGGGGCCCAAGAGCCACATGTGGCTCACGAGCCACAGTTTGCTGACCACTGTTCTATACCATCCTAGTCTGGACACACCCGCTAAATCTGGACCCTTCCTGGGAGATTAAAAAAAAAAAAAACTCTTTGGTACCACTTGGCCTTTTGTCATGTTGTTTCTGTCCCCTGGCTTTCCCAGGTGCTCCTGCTGGGGTCTCCTAAAACTGCTGTCCTGCCCTGGCCAGTGTGGCTCAGTTAGTTGGGTGCCATCCCATGTACCAAAAGGTTGCTGGCTTCATTCCCAATCAAGGGCACATGCCTAGGTTGTGGGCTCAATCACTGGTGAGGGGCATGCAGGAGGTAGCCAATTAATGTTTGGCTTCACATCAATGTTTCTTTCTCTCTCTCTCCCTCTCCCTTGCTCCCTCTCTAAAAATAAATTAAAAAATATATATTTTTTAAAAACCTGTTGTTTTCTTGCCCTGGCTGGCGTGACCCAATGGTTAGAGCATTGGCCTGAGCACCAGAGAGTTGCAGGTTTGACTCCCAGTCAAGGGCATGTGCTTGGGTTGCAGGTTTGATCCCTGCCTCCCCTGCCCCCTTTCCAAGGCGCATGTGGGAGGCAACAAATCCATGTGTCTCTCTCACATCAATGTTTTTCTCTCTTTCCTCCTCCCCCATTCCTTCCACTTTCTCTAAAAACCAATGGGGAAAAAATATCCTCACATGAGGATTAACCAAAAATAACAGCAAAAACTGACATTCTTCCTTGGGATTGAATTGAACTTCCATACTATTGGCCATAGGTCTATGGCAATGTTTTCTACTTTTTACATGAGGCCAGCAAGTGGCAGAGAGTGTACTAGGCTCAGGGACAGTGGGCAGGGCATGTCCAGTGTCAGATTCTAGGCCCAGGTCTGGATTCAAACTCCAGATCCACTGTGTGACCCCAGGTGAGTCACTGTCACTCTCTGAACTGCTTCCCTTTTTTCAGCCAGCTTGATGATTAAATTGAGTGCTTGGCATATATCAGATCTTGCATATAGCCCAGTCGCCTTCCCAACTCCCATGGGAACTACCCTGAGTTTTCCAAGAGTGGATGGTCAGACATGGAAAGAGCCGTTCTCTACCCCGCCCTCTTCCCCTGTGGATAAAGGACCTGAGCTAGTCCTCGCTGCAGCAATCACCTTGGCTGTGTCACCTCCGTTCCTGGATGTCAGTTTCCTCACCTGTTAATGGGGGAAATACCACTCACTCTCTGGGTCCTGTGGGAAAGCAGAAGACAGAGTATGTGGAAGGGCTAGGAAAGGCCCTAGCACTCGGCACCACATGGGCAGGAACTGCCTTTGCATCTAAGGTCTTTGCATTAAATGTGTGTGGTGTTTTTTCATTTTCTTTTTCACATGATGGGCCCAGCAGGCCTCAAGCAATTTGAGGAATTCAACAGAGCAAGGGTGTGAGGTGTAGGTCACACAGAGACTCAGATGGAATGTGGGTATCCTCACGGTGTAGTTGGGGCTCAGATCCAACAAAGGCCAAGTAAGGACCTCCTGTGACTGAGCACAGGCTGCAGCTTCCACCTTCCTTTCCTTGAGCCCAGAAAGTGGTCTCAGTGAATCCCATTTTGCAGATGAGGATGCTGCAGCTCAGGAAGAACAGTGATTTACCCAGGCTAGTACAGGGACAGCAGTGGGATTAGAACCAGCTCATCGGAGGGCAGGTCCAGTGCTGTGGTTCCTACCCCCCAATCTAGAGACCTGCCTCGTGGTTGCTGGGAGAATGGAAGGAAAGGACAGCAGCAAAACTGCATTTTAGAACCTAAAGCAGGTACAATGTTGATTGGCCCCATTCTGTTACATCCTCACTTTTTCTCATTTCTCATTAAAAAGGCATCTCTTTTGTGCCAGGGCTATGCTGGAGATGCCATAGACCTCCCCTCATTAAATTCCAGCCCTCAGAGTGGTCTCCAAGATAAGGGATATCCTTCCTATTTTACAGATAAGAAAACTGAGGTTCAGAGAGGTGAAGTCATTACCCAGGATCTCACAGGTAGAACAAAGGCAGAAAGCCACAGTAGGCTCTGAAGTCAGATATCCTAGCTCCCTACTTGTCCTTCCTAGCTTAGACAAGTCATGTGGCTTCTCTAAGAAGCATCAGCTTCCACATCTGTGAAATGGGCAGAGTAAGTGCTCTGAGATCAGGTATGTGAAGCCCTTTACACAGGGCTTGGCACCTAGATGCACAACATAAATAATTCATGATTATCTGATTATCAACATTTTTGCTTGACAGAGCTGATTTAAAGCCAGACCACTCAAGGCCCCATCTGCCTAGCTGACCCCACACCATCTGCTTCCTTCTATTCTCTGCAGGATGCGCCACGGCCCAGGCTGGGTCTGAGGATGAAGGGGAGGCAGAGGCAGGCTGGATTGAGGGGGCTGCCATCCTCCTCTCAGTCATCTGTGTGGTCCTGGTCACGGCCTTCAATGATTGGAGCAAAGAGAAGCAGTTCCGGGGCCTGCAGAGCCGCATTGAGCAGGAGCAGAAGTTCACCGTGATCCGGGCTGGCCAGGTGGTCCAGATTCCTGTGGCCGAGATTGTGGTTGGGGACATCGCCCAAATAAAATATGGTAAGTGTCCCAGCCACAGAGCTACATGCTAGAGCTGGAGAAGAGATGGGACAGGCCAAGCAGACCCAAAGAGACTGGCCCAGGGAAGGGTCCCTGAAGGCTGATCCCAAGCCAAGATGTCTTCCGCGATCCTTTGGAAATAGAAGGCTACTTCCTGGAGGGAGTAGATTTCAGAATTGATTTAACTCAGAAATGGCAAATATGTGGCAAATATGTGGCACATGTGCCACCACTCTCAATACCAGCAGACCTGTTATAGTTATATTAGTGTGATGTTTGATTTATACGTTACTAATCAGTCACAGCTCAGGGCCTCCATACAGCCTCAGAAGCCTTCTCAACACAATACTCCAAGGACTAATACTCATAATGGGTTTATGGGATGAAGTCCATTTCCTATCCCTGATTTAGCTATTGTTGGATGGTTGCTGGTTCGGAGAGGGTGTTATGGGGAGTGAATATAGATGAGTGAACATTCTAAGCCTGTGATACTACCTTGGAGAAAGTGGGCAAGCTGTTTAGATGAGTATATCCTTGGGAAAGCAGAGGCAGAAGATGGAAGCAAGATTGGAGTATACCCCTTCTCACTTAGCCCTCAGGGGGCAGGGGGTTTGGGACACGGGTTGGTTTCCTTTGATAATGTGACTGTCCTGGAGTCTCCTCTGCTTAGCCCAGATGGACTAGTCCCTTTCAAAAGAATTCCTCAAATCATAGTTGAAACTAGAGAATGAATTGTTGAGAAAACTAGGCCTCACGACCACACCAGGCCAAGAAAAGCACTTAATAAACTAAAGAACATGCCTGCCTGAGCTTGGATTGTTGGGCCCAACCTCAACGCTCCCAGCCTGTACCATTGACTTCAGTCCAGTCTTCAGCTGCCTATTGGCCTGTGATGGGCACCATGTTGGTTCCTACACCCTGGGAGCTCTAGGAAGCTGGTCCCAATAGTGAACCTTCCCTTATAATCACAACTTTTGGGAGCTGACTATTCCAGCCTCTTCAGCAATCTGAGACCCTGCTGACTCCCTTGACCTTCCTCCCATCAGGTGATCTCCTCCCTGCTGATGGCCTCTTCATCCAGGGCAATGACCTCAAGATCGATGAAAGCTCCTTGACAGGAGAGTCTGACCAGGTGCGCAAGTCCGTGGACAAGGACCCCATGCTGCTGTCAGGTGAGCTGCAGCCCAACAGTGGGCTCACTCCATTGCTGGTTTCTGTCCCTTTCATGAGACTGGAGGGTCTTGGAGACTTTGGTTCTTGGCTTCAGATCTCTGGCCAGCTCAGCTCCAAGTGAGAACTTCCTCTCTTTTCCCCAGCAAACAAGCATTGAGCCTACTGGGCTCTCAGCACTGCGTTAGGGACATCACAGTGAATAGAATCAGAGATAAAGGATCCCTGGCCTCAGGTAACTTACTTCTAGTGATTTAGTTTTCTGAAAAGTCAAACATTGAAGCCCACTCTAATCATGGATGAGAAAGAATCAGTCAGGTGACAATTGTTTTGTTTTGTTTAATCCTCACCTGAGGATATTTTTTCATTGATTTTTAGAGCATATGGGAGAGAGAAGGGAAGACAGAGAGAAATATCTATGTGAAAGAAACACATCAATTGGTTGCCTCCTGCATGTCCCAGACCAGGGCCCGGGTCAGGAAGGAGCCTGCAACCGAGATGCCTATGACTGGAATCGAAACCAGGACCCTTTGATTCTAGGACCCTTGGCCCAGGCTCATGGGAAAAGACAGTGAGCCAAACCAACTATGGTGGGTGCTAGACAACTAGGAAGGGATGAGGCTGTTGAAGCCTCAGTCCTGAGGAGCTATGGTGTAGTGAGAAGAGATAGGCAATAGAGAAATTCCAGGTGGTGGTAGGTGTGAGGCAAAAATAAAGCAGGACAAGGGGAGGCAGGGTGCTGGAGAGGTCAAGAGAGGCCATGTGTGAACTGAAGTGTGAATGATGAGCAGCAGCTGGCCTTGTGACTATCCAGGAAAAGTATACCAGGCAAATGGAACAGTAAGTGCAAAGGCCCAATGGCAGGATTGTGCTGGAGGACTGTGAACAAGTTGGAGATGTGGAGGGTCCAGATGTCAGGAGTTTGGAAATGTTTTGTGTGATGAGGATTATCTGGAATGGTTTTAAACAGTGAACTGAACACATTTACTTTTTTAAAATCTCACTCTGGCTGCTGCAGGGGGCAAGACAGGAAGCAAGGAGACCATGCAGAGATAAGGCACCAGCAGGTGACCACCCTCCCTCCAACAGGAACACCCCAAAGGCCTTATTGTCCAACAGTGCTCATCAAGCAGCTACTTTGGGCCTGACCCTGGACTAAGCAATAGGACCCACCTTTGGCTTCAGGAGCCTCCAGCCCAGATAGGCTGGGACCAGCAGACCAGCAAACAGCTAATTCTACACTGGATAAGTGAGGAAGATGTACAAAAGCCAAGAAGGGAACAGAAGGGGGAGGTGGAATTGAGCTGGACTTTAAAGCATGGGTAGCAGCCCACTAAACAGGGTTTTGGATAAAGAGTCCTCCTAGCTGAGGCAAACATGTGAAAGGCACAGAGGTCTGAAGGAGTATGTGTCATCCTCAAATACAAGGTCCCTGACCTCCTGTAGCTTAGACTCCAAGAGATAGACAGTAAAGAAGCAAGCAAGCAAATATATAACATAATTTCAGATAGTGATAAATCAATGATAGTGATAATTCTACCATGGTAATAAAGACCCAGAGGAAAGGACAGGAATCTTAGTTGGTGATGGAAGGCATATCTGAGGAGATTGCATTGGAACTAAAACTGGAACTATGACAAGAAAGAGCATTATAGGCAGAGGGATAGCAAGTACAGAGGCTTTGGGGGTCTAAGAGATGGAAATCCTCAAATGCTCTCTTCGAACTTAGGGCTACAAGGCCCTGTGGTCCTAGTTCCAATCTCTGGTGAGCAGAGAGGCGAGCATTCTTGGGAGCAGTTGCCAGGTGTATCGGATGGATCATCTGGGTCACTGGAAATTGAGGGGGGTTTCTGGGCCTGAGCGGATGGGTTGTGTCTGTCCCTCTAGTCAATGAGAAGCCTCATAATTGGGTAGGATGTCTCTTAGGGAACTGGATGTCCCAGAGACCATCCAGAGAGCTTAGACCCATAGGCCCTTGGAGACTTGGCAGTGACTTCTGCTTTCAGTGGGGAAGAACAGGAAACTAGAGACAGACAAAAGCGTTCCAGGTCTTAAGAATCTGGGAGAGCCCTGTGAAGCTCAAACTGGTGGGATCACAATGGGGTCAGCACTGGTCCTCAGCTCAGGAATAGGTGGTCTCTGAGCACTGAGAGATGAGAGGCTCAAGTTGAACCAACTGCTTTAGTCTCAACCTATACAACTGGCTGGAAGCCTAGCTATGAACTTGGCTCTGAGCCTTTGGATGTCAGGAGACAGCTGACACAGGTCTCCCATGAGGTCCTTGTGGACAAGATGGAGAAGGCTATGCCAGAGGCCAGAAGATTTTGGCCAGTTTGTGCTGATTCTTGGATTGCGGTTATCTAGTGGCCTTCCCTGGAGCTCTGTCCTATCACAATATAGAAAGTGTGCTATCAAGTTCACAGAGACACCAGCCCAGGGAGCATGGCAAAAAGAAAGCAAGAGTCAGGACCCACAGAGATCACCAGAGTGCAAGGCGAATTAGACGGAAGGAAATGGAGCTTGACTGCAAGCAGCAGTGCTCACATTCAGAGACACAATTGCATGGGGGAAAGGAGGAGCAAGTGGTTTGGCCCCGGCTCATGGGAAAAGACAGTGAGAAATTGGCATCATTGGCCCAACAGAAAGTAATCTAACTAGGAAGAGAATTCTGTTGCAGAAGAACCATTCTAGGACAAAAGAGGCTTCCTGTACGGTAATGAGTTCCCTGTCACTGATTGGAACTTTGGGCCACATGGCCCTGTGGTCCTGGTTCCAACCTCTGGTACCAGAGAGGCGAGCATTTGTGGGAGCAGTGGCCTGGACAGGCTGTGGGTGGGAGTGGTATAGAGTAGGCCCAAGCACTGAAGGGACACTGCGTTCAGTGCCCCTCCTAGCCATGAAAGTCACGGATTCACCGCACCCTGCTCCCCTTGTCCCTCCTGGCTCCATTCCTGTGCCCTGCCTCTGCGGAAGCTGTTCCCTCCTCCTCGTGGCCCTCCTTCTCCCTTTCACATTGCTCATTTAACCTCCGCCCGTCTGCTGGGGCTTACCTCCTTCACAAAGCCTGCTCTGAGCACCACGTCTGGCAGTCACTCCCATTCCACCTGGGATCCACATGTCAGCCTGTGACATCCACTCTGTGCTTGTCCCATTCAGGCACAGCCTTGTACTGCTGATTGAGTTTTTTTTCTGCACAAACTGTCTCAAATAAAATAAAGAGCAAAACCCATCCACACTCCTGCCACCCTAACAGATCTAATGGGTCTCATTTTATCGTTGGCCATACACAGATAGAAGACACCAGGACAGACACACTGGTGGTCCCTTTCTATTTCAGTCCTCTCACCCAAACAGACCCAGGCAGGTGGGAGCCCAAGCCTGAGTTATCAGGAGGTCATGCCTAGCTCCACCCCTGGGCCCTGCACACCTCAGGGCTCAGGCACTGCCTGCCAGAGTGAGGAGAGAGGTTGCATTGTAGAAGAAGCAGGGTTGGCCCAGGCTGAGCTGGACTGGGGTTCTGAATTCTCTGTGTGGCCTTAGGCAAGTTGCTTCACTTCTCTGAGCCTCAGTTTACCTGTGAGGACAAGAGGGGTGTCCTGGTGTATGATATAGGTGCTCATGCTGGGTTGGTTCCCTTTCTCGTTCCTTGGATGGAACCTGGAACTGAGGGCAAAATAGTCTTGTGTTCCAATCCCGACTCTGCCCCTTATTGGCTGGGAGACCCTGGACAAGCTTCTTAGCCTTTCTGAGCCCTCATTTTCTCACTTGTAAAATGGGAACGAACATAACCCGAGCTCATAAGATTGTGTCAAAGCATCCATTTTCCTTTCTCTCCCTTCATCTCAACTCTCTACCCTTGCCCACTCTCTGGACTGCGTACCTTCTCTCCACCATCCAGCTCCTCCCACCTTCAGCCTGCAGGAGCCTGCTTCCTCCAGGGGGTTCCTTAACAGCAACTCTCTCCCCAGTGCTGTGCATTCTGGATGCTCATGTTTGCACATGACCAGACACCCCAGATCTTGTCCCTGTGTTGGGGGGGCTTGCTGGGCCTTTTGGTCAGATGACCCTCAGGGAACACACAGAGACTAGGCTAGGGGTGCCTGTGGGGTCCTCGTGGTAGTGCAGAAGCCCCCTGTGGTATCTGGCACACTGTGTCAGCCTGGAGGAAGGCGAAGGACTACTCCAGTTCTGAGTCAGTTGGCCCAGCCATGTATGGCCTGTGATCCTGGACAGGTCACTTCATGGCTTGGAGCCTCCACGTTTGTGTTTGTGCAATGGGGGAGCCAGTGGGGGCCCAGGCCCCTGCCTACCCCTCAGGGAAACCACCTGCACAGATGGCTGTGACTGTCCTTTGTCAATGGTGCTGTGTGAGGTGCTATGTGAGGAATAAGAGCAGCGTTTGGAGACTGAACACTCGGGTTCTAGCCCTTCATCAAGCTTTGGCTTTGACCTCTGCCTCCAAGGACTTCAGCTTCCTCATACATTACTCAGCAGCAGCTACTCTGATATCCCCGTGCTCCAGGCACAAAGGAAATCATAAAGGCCTGGAGCTCCTTCTCCAGGACGGACAGGCAGGCCCCAGCCCATGTCTGGTTCTTCAGACCTGGCAGAGTGGAAACAGTCAGAAATCACAGGCTCTCTGGTTCCTGGGTCCAGGCACCAAACCAGAGCACAGTTGCTTCTGATTGCTGCCTACTGAAGTGCCCCTCAGTGCAGCTGCTGAGCTCCCTGTGCAAGCAGAGCCTCCCAGTGTTTCAATGTTGGCAAGAAATTCCTATTCTTTTAAAGCCTGTGTGGGGCAAGCAACCGATGGGTGGGCCCTAGAGCACAAACTCTGACCTGGGCCCATTTCTTTTGTTTTAATTTTGTATTTTAAGATAATATCAAACTTTAAGAAAACTTGTAAGAACAATACAAAAACCGCCTACATGTCCTTCCCTCTGATTCCACTGTTATTACCGTTCTGTCCAGTCTGCTCTCTAGGAGCCTCCCTCTTCCTCGT